TCTACCGAGGGGGTTGCTACAGGGGGGTTGGCCTGTATCTCGGCGAGCTGCGAGGTTAATTCCGCTATCTGCACACGCATTGCGTGCAGTAGCGCATTCATATCTGCACACGCATTGCGTGCAGTAGCGCATTCATATCTTGCGACGACATGTTGACTTGTTCTCCTTGGGTAACGTAAAAATAGGTAACTGGGGGTCCCCGCTTGCTATCTGCGGATCAACCTCTTCCCAGCTGAGTATCGGATCTCAATCTCCGACTACCCACACTATAGTATTTGAAAAAGTATATAAAAATGTAAACGTAATAAACCCTGGTCCGAACGGTTGTCAGGGGGTGGTCCGCTTGTTAAGCTGTCAACCCTTCTCCAGACTGGCGGAGGCAAGTGCCCGGCCTGGTCAGAGGTATTTGAAAGTGAAAGTTTGTATTTTAAATCTAATCAACAGTGGTTCCACACCGACTGCTGAGCTAAGTACTCCCCTCAACGCTGGGGGCCGCGTATCACAGGTTTTGGGTTCTTCTCCCAAAGCACTACAAGGCCGTCGCTAGGAGCGCACCTATCTGCTATGTGGGATATTCCTAACCGCTAACCAATCTCCTTCACCCTGGAGTCCGGGTGCCCAAATGATGGGACTTCTGCACACACGTGCGAGAGAGTAGAAAGAGCGAGTCCTAATGTAACAACCAAGAGTTAGTTACTCTGGCGCACACAGGAACACACTATAAAGGTAGTGGAAGATGGGGAGTGGGTACCCCTTGGGCTGCAGTGAGTTAGTTGGTATACAACAGGAGAACTCGCTGAGGAGTCTCCTGGATCTATTGGGGTATATATACTACTACAGGTTGTTTGTACATGTGTACTATACAGTTGATGAAGGCAGTGGCTGATGATGTCATAGGGCCTAGCCCGTATGGCCAGCTCCACTGCGTGAGAGAGTTAAATCTAAAAGTAAAAGAAAGGCAACGCGGCGCGAGAAAGGGAAATGCCGCGTGGCACTTAAAGTATAAAGTTAAAGCGGAGAATAAAAAGGACAGGAGATGTCCGGAAATTGTGTTATCGTAACAGCATAAAGCGGCGTTTAGGACAAACCGGGGGTTATTCGAACCATTAGTCATGTTCTTTGGACTGACAAATTCCCCCGCCACGTTCCAAACAATGATGAACACGCTTTTCAAAGAGTTGATAGACGAAGGATTAGTGATCATATATCTAGACGATATTATGATATTCACAAAAGATATAGAAATGCACCGAGCAACGACGCGACGTGTATTAGAAATCCTAAGAAAGAATCATCTCTATCTTAAACCAGAGAAATGTGATTTCGAACAGACAGAGGTGGAATACCTGGGACTGATCATCTCAGAGAACGAAATTCGCATGGATCCGGTAAAAGTAGAAGGAATTAGCAAATGGCCAGAATGCAAAAATAAGAAGGATATACAAGCATTCTTGGGATTTGTAAATTTTTATCGAAGGTTCATAGAAGGCTTTGGGGAAGTAGCCAAACCATTGACCAAGTTAACGGGAAAAGAAGACTTCATTTGGGGAAATGAACAACGCGAAGCATTTAACACATTGAAACAACGCGTAGCTTCAGCCCCAGTGTTAGCTCTCCCAGTACCACATGGCCAATACAAAGTAGAAGCGGATAGTAGTGACTTCGCTATGGGTGCTGTCTTATCACAAAGACAAAAAGATGACTGGAAACCGATTGCATACCTCTCCAAAGTGTTAAACCCCACAGAACGCAATTACGAGATCTATGACAAAGAGCTTCTTGCCATCATGACGGCACTTAATGAATGGAGACATTATTTGATAGACGCAGAAGAAGAGTTCGAGATATGGACAGATCATCAAAATCTGTTATATTTCAAAGAACCAAGGAAGTTAAATAGGAGACAGGCGCGGTGGATGACGGAGTTAAGCCAGTATCATTTCACGATACATCATATGCCGGGAAGGAAGCATATAAAAGCAGATCTTCTCTCGAGACGATCAGATCACAACAAAGGAGAAAACAACAACAAAGACGTCGTACTACTGGATGAGAAATTATTTGTAAGAATGACCCTCTCGCCGGAGCAGAGACAAAAGATCGCAGACAGTCAAGAGAAAGAATTGGAGATCTCAAAGTGGATTGCAAAGAGAAAGGGAAACGTAGATGAGTTGATAAAAAAGATGAAAGGAAAGATAGAACGGAGAGAGGATGGTTGGCTAGACAAAGACGGTTGCATAGTATTCAAAGGCAGGATCTATGTACCAAGAGATGCTGTGTTAAGGGAAGAGATTATCCGACAAAACCACGACTCTGTTATTGCCGGCCATCCAGGAAGACATAAGACAAAGGAGCTAATCACTCGACAATACTGGTGGCCCTATATGGACAGAGATATCACGAGATACGTAGATGGATGCGAAGTCTGCCAAAGAACCAAGACAGACCATAAAAAGAAAGCAGCACCGCTTCATCCAAACGAGATCCCGGATAAACCTTGGCAGATCATATCAGTAGATCTGATCGGACCGCTACCAAAATCAAATGGATATAACATGATAATGGTAGTAGTAGATTGTAAAGACCCTAGCTGTATGCCGGTGACCCGAGCAGCGTAGGACTTAAATCAAACAACAAGTAGTGACAAGCAAGTATAAAAGAGTAAATCTACAACTGGGGTATGTACATGGATATCGCGCTAGTTATATAGAAGAAGGCATGAGGCTTTGGTGAGGTATGAAGTAGTGTATTGGTAAGTAACATGTGTAATGCGTGAGGCTGATTGGTAATGAGTATTACTAATGTGTCACGTGATTACTAGATAAGATAAGATCAAAGGGAGATTAGATTAGGTGAAAGAATAGTCTCTATCTCGCGATTAGATAAAAATGATGAGTCAGATGGATACGATCGTGACATTACCCCCTCCTTAGGACTTCCATCCAGGTAATTCCCACAAACAGATGGACAAGAAGAATATGAAGTCGAAGAAGTTTTAGATTCACGTCTAAAAAGAGGGAAACTGGAATATTTAGTACATTGGAAGAACTATCCAAAAGAGGAACACACGTGGGAACCCGAACAACACCTAAACAACTCACCCGACAAAGTAAAAGCATTCCACGACCACAACCCTAGTGCACCCCAACGGATCCGATTCCAATTACATTTCCAACCCTTCGAAAACTTCACAATGACTAGAGTCCGAAAACAATTGTTTAATTGGGAAAACGGAAAGATGGACCCCTACTTTTGGGACGAAAGTCCTAAGGAGGGGGTAATGTCACGACTTGAACCAGACGCGCTAGTTTGAGCGCTAGTTTCTTTTTCATTTTCTTTGATATCTGATCACATGACAGATAAGATATGTTAAGCTGCTGCTATTAGCGCGGATGACATAATACGTAGATTACATCAGATCACGTGACCATCACGTGACAAGAGTCTAGAACCATTACAAAGAACATCAGTCAGCGCCTCATGGCTACTGCATGTTAGATCAGTCAGCGCCTCATGGTTGACTTCAGAAACGTATATATAGTAAACCACCATGTACATACTTTCCTCAGTCGTTGATTAATTCTCAATCGCTATCTTGTAACGCTACTTGTTTGATTTGAACCTTCGTCCCTCTGTTAGTTCGGTAAAGGGGATAAGGGTTTTACAGTAGGCACCGTGCAGTAATTTTCTTATGTGCCCAACAGCTCTCTCTTGCACTCATCAGCCTTCAAACGGTTGCACAATCAGCAGCACTGGTAGCTACCAACCAACTTGACAACTCTCTACCCCAACCATACCACACCTCTATTTTGACAGGCCATGGATGGGTCCTTGAATTACTGCAGGGCCATCCCAACCGCATTTGTGCTGAACTTGGTGTCAGGCACCATGTCTTCCTCAAGTTAATTGACCTACTCAGACACCATCATTACATTGACTCAAGGCATGTCAGCCTTGAGGAACAGCTCGCCATCTTCCTATACGCATCTGTCACAGGCTTATCTGTTCGCCATCTTGGTGAACAATTCCAACAATCAAACAATACAATTTCTAGGTACTTCAAGAAGATCCTGGCTGCATTTACCTCCCCAGAAATTTATGTTACCTATGTCCATCTACCTGCTGAGGACAACCCGCTGCTGCCTTACATCATGGAAAATCCCAAATATTGCCACTTCAAAGGTGCCATTGGTGCCATTGATGGGACACACACATTGCATGTGTCCCATCTGCCGCCAAACGCCAGGCATTGCAAAACCGCAAAGGCGGGGTATCTCAAAACTGCCTTGCCTGTTGCACTTTTGACCTCAAATTTTCTTACATGCTCAGTGGGTGGGAAGGCTCTATTGCAGATGCCGCTCTATGCCATGATGCTTGTACGAGCAACCTTCGCATTCTGCAGGGTAAGTACTATCTAGCGGATGGAGGATTTCCTTCCTGCCCCCAGCTTTTAGTGCCATACAGAGGTGAACACTACCACCTTCAGGAATACGCTCGTGGCAATTGCAGGTAAGATTTACCCTCCATTTCTCACATCCTATTCTAACATCTAGCATTTTTAGGCCACAGAATCCTCGCGAATACTTCAACCTTTGACATGCATCTGCTTGCAACGTCATTGAGTGTATCTTTGGGATCCTCAAGCGGCGTTTTTGTATTCTCCTCCTCCCTTCTGAGTATGACATGGCTGTTCAAGCATGCATACCCCCCGCCCTCTGCATGTTACATAATTTCATACGGGTCCATGACCCGTATGAAATCCAAGACTACAACACTCCCACTGAAGACCCCATCCCTCGCCTTGACACTGGGACTTTAGCCACAGGGCCTCCCACCGAAGCAACCCGGACACAAGCAAATGTGAGGAAAGATGAGATTGCTAAGTTGATGTGGGAGGACTATCAGGGTGAACTGCGTAGAAGAGGATTAGTGTAACATTGTCTCACAATATCTTACTGCCTTGTACTATGATACTAACTCAATGTCATTTTCATAACATTTCATATTGTACCAGCAGAAGTAAATACCACACAGATCTTGTGATGGAGCTGATCCATGCCCTACACAACTCAGTCGCATGCAACATGTTCAAGTATGTATCCACCACCCCCATTTTGTGCTCAAAGATACGAAGGACTTCAACCTGCTTGGGAATCCCAAGCTCATAGTCAAGTTCTTGTAGTGCTTGGATAGCGATACCTCTTTGTATATGGGAGGCCTGTTTAGCAATGTCGAATTGGTAGCGGGAAATGAAAGAGGAGGGGGTGGTAACAGATGTCCCAGGTGCAGATGAGGGTATAACAGTGGAAGAACTGTCTTGTCTCGTAGACAAGGTATCCAGCTCATTACAAATAGTGTCAGTTATCCCCTTCATTATAGGTACAATCTGACCCAGCGTATCATTCAACCCAGTTAGGGCATTGGTGGTCATTGTATTTGCAGCTACACGAGGGGTTTTAGAACTGCGACTATGCACAGTAACTCCTGTGCCCTTGCTGCAAGTGGCAGTTGACATCACATCCACATCCGCATCTGAGGTACTTTCTTTTTGCTTGCTACTGGAAGACCCACCGGACATAACTGGTGACATATTGGTAGGAGGGGGCAGTGATTTGGGAGATGGCAGCCCAATAAGCCAGTCGCTCACACCGGCATCACTGCGCTGCATGTTGGGACTTTCTGCACCACGCAGGCCAGCAGGAATAGTTGGCATGGTGAGGTGAGGATTGTTGTTGGGATATGGTTGATCACTCCTAGGCGTTTGTGGGGGAAAGGGCAGGGAACTACCGGATATGGACAACAAAGAATTTGGGGCATTGGTAGATATAGGAAAACTAGATACAGAGGTAGGAATGAGAGAAGGGCAAAATGCATTTGCTCCCTTGGCATGACGCCCAGATATGAGATTGTCCATTGCTTTGAAATGGACCCAACCCTTGTTGCAAAAACCCTTGACACCAGGGTTTTTCTACAGACCAATAAGATGCAGATATTGTTTTAAAAAGTGAGCACATACCTTGAGGTATCCTCCCATACAGTGTTTCTTTCAATTGTGATATCTGCACCATTAGTATCATCCCAATGAAAGCCCAATTGCTCTGATAACGCTTTGATGAGTTTGTAGGTAGATCACAACTAATTGCAGGCTAAAGTAAACCGTCAATTAATAAATTGACATTGTACACACCCTTCCCCATTTGCTAGAGCAGTGCTTGCCTTCCTTTGCAGGGCCAACTACATGATCCTTTTGTATATTCTGATTGAATTCCACAGCAGCCTTTGGCCAGAATTTCTTTGGGAAATTCATCCCATCTCCACCCTCACTTCGCTTGCTAGTTATATACGCAATCAACCCAACTTCCTCAGCCTCTGACCAAATTTGCCTGTCCTTTGTGCTGGTGGAAACTTGACCATCATCAATATCAGGTGGAATAGGTGTGGCTTTTACACCATGGTAGTTGTGCGAGCTGGTGGACTGAGTAGCAAGATTGGTGTCTCTGTTCATCCTCAACCAGTAGCGAGGCCGTTTAGAGTCGCATGTAGAAGTTTCAATGCCTGAGGCTGAGGCTTTCCTCTTGTACATTGTTTTTAGAGGGGTATGGGGTCTGTGGGTGGTCTGAAAAAGAACGGCACGGCACGCCTTCTGGCATATCGGCACTCCTTGTGGCGCCAAAATGCGCAAAATCTCATTTTCATTTTTGTTCCCGTACAGCGCCTCAACCATTAGTCTGACTTTCACACAACTTTAGCCGACTTTTTGTTTTTACTGAGAGTGAACTGTCAATTGGTTTGTGCTTTGTAGGCAATACACTTGGAACTGTCACCCCTTTGGAAACTTTGGAAGCTTAGTATATTAATATACAACCCTCGTTGTACCCAAATTGACTCTGCTACGTGTTCCCAACGACTACTATCATTCATAAGTAGTCATCCGAGTTGGACGTCTGGCTGGGGCGCAAGATTATTCTCCCAGATGTGTTCAAACTTGATGCCTGTCCTTGGCAAGTTGTATGGTGTTCTTTCTATCGGCTTTCCGTTCTCTGCTACGTTGATTTTCAGTCACCTTCGACCGAGCTTAGCGGCTAAGATGTTAAGAAACTTTGAAAAACTACGCCAACCCCGATCATGGTGGCCGTGTCGAGCCTAATGATTCAGCAGTCTGGAGTGTCCACAATTCCATATCTTCGTGGGGAAGTTTATTCCACTTGTGGTAGATCTATGACTCAAGTGAGCTTGGAAAACGGAAGAACGACAATGGAACATACATCGTCGAGAATATCTAGAAGCTCGGTCGTCTTCGCATCTGTTTCTTCCTGTTTCCTGACATTCTCCTGAAATTGAGCTTGCAGTTTCAGATTTTCTTCTTCGAGCTAACATAAAACATATACTGTGAGTATGAGAATGAGCAGAAAAAATTTGTCGTACAGCTTTCAATGTTGCTTTCAGGCGATCGACCTCCCCTTCTAGAATAGGCACCACATGAGCACGACCAGCAGCTCGAGGTTGTAAATCCTCTTTCCAAACGTCTTTCCCCGATAGTTCTCCGCGCTGCTTTCGTGCACGAGCTTCTGTAACGACAGCATGCAATATGTTGATACTCTCCCTAACATTATACTCTTTGAATAGGTCTTCACAACTGTTCTTTAATCCTCGCTATGAGCAGTGTACCCTGACAAGTTATAGACCAAGACACGTACAGATATTGTAGATTCCATATGCCTTGAGACAGCATTAAACACAGCAGACGCGCCATTTGGTTCTTCTTTGCACCATAGAGAAAAATATTCGGTAAAGTCTTCATAGCTGTTTCATCATATCGTCAAATTCATCTGGTAAATGTGGCAACGAGGATATATGTAAATGTACGTCCATTGGCGCGCAGAACGTTGAATGGCGAGCTGTAATGCCGAGTGGAAATGTGTCCACCGTTTACTGTCCGACGCCGATGTCGTTGCCATCGTTGAGCTCGACGCGTTGCGGAGTTTCGAACGCGAGCGTGGCTGGAGAGATTTCCCCACACATACTAGGCTGTGGCTGAGCGTTTGTGTCAAGTTACATCGTGACTTGCTCGGTGCACGCTATGGACCGCAATGAAGGAACCGTCAATCCTCCAGAAGCCGTACGGATACAAAACCAAAGGAGCTCTGTTCCCTCTTTTCTTTTCATAATATTCATGCTTTTCATGCTCACCAATCACAGCGGAGACGAGTTTCTCGCACGGAACCATTATCAGGATGCACTCCAGTCATTGAACTACCAAATGTCCAATTTTACTGCGTGGATGAATGGGACGGAGTCAAATTTTACTCTAGTGCGTGCTATTTTTGACTGGGTTGTGTAGAACAATGTCTGAGTCCAAAGGTAGTCAGCACCAGACTCATCTGTGGCTCCCCTGCTACAGTCTTTCATGACATTTGGCTCGCAACTCGACCCATCGCATTCGTCGTATTTCCCCAATGTGACAGGTTTTATTCGCGGGGATGTAAACTACCACAACGTCACTCCTCCCAGCCTCTCTCATCCCAATACCTCAGACCTCGCATGGGCGTCCCTGGCCCGGACCTACATGGCTGATCCTAATATGACTGAAGTACTACAGAAAATAGGGCCATGGAATTGGTCTGGTTCAGAAAAGATTTCTTGGAGTTTGATGGCTCGCACCCCTGTGGAAGTCACTGCGGCGAACAATGCATCAGCGAGAATAGCGATGATTCATGTATGTCAACTCGATATTTCGTATCTGTTTGTTCACCAACACATCAAACATCACATTTAGGGCAGAATTGATCTCGTTGATCCTAAAAATGTAGGTGATATGAGACTTGATTTCGAAGGCGTCCATATCATAGGAAACGGTTCTATCTATGGGTTTGCAGAGCCAATCGGGTAATATCTCTTATTTACCAGAGTTTCGTCGTACTCACATGTTGCTGTACAGCCGAAACATAGATATACGCCTACTGCCATCCATAGTACCCGAGGGCTACCAAAACGCCACAGCACACGCTGTAGAACCTGAAATTGCTTCAAGGATCAACAAGCTAAAGACTATGATCGATCAAGGTATCATAGACCAAGACAGCAACAACGATGGTATGTCAATCATTCTTAGTCCCTGAGGGAGCTATCTTGCTAATCTCTCTACAGACAACAGCGGCAAATCAAAATGCGGATTCACCCTATATTCTCAGATAGAGCCATCTCAAGTTCCGGAGCAGCTCATGGATGAGCTGGAAGAAGAACTACAGAGACCCACTGGAAAATGGACTGTCAAGTCTCCCAAGTTAACTCTTAACGGTGTACTACTGAGCAAGGAATGTGGCATTCTTTACCATATCAACAACACTGAGGGTTTGAGGTAGGAGCACACATGTAGAGCATTCCTTATAGATCTGACATTGCAATCAATAGGTCTCGCACTTTTTTCCGCAAAGTTACAACCTGTCAGTTCATCATCTTATTTTTTGTTTGTGTTGCTCATCATTCCTCTTATCTTTAACCAGATGCCGGGACGGCAGCACTCGCCTACTTCGTTCTTCTCGTTCTTCTTTCTCGTCAGATGGACCGCAGCCGAACGCCCGCTGGCATTTCTCGTTTATCTCGCTGGTCATTCCTTACCCAAGCCATAGTGGACGCCGTTTCGTTTGCAGGACATATTACATTTGCCATTCTCGCTGATGGACGGCCATCGCTTTCACTTGTTGCCCCTGCGTTCTTAGCTTGCATGCTGTTCGCTTATGAAGCGGTGAGCGTAATCCTAATAGCAGCAGCGCCCTAGGCCTTGATTAAAATTTCCGTCGGTTTACAGCAATTCTCCATTCTCATCAATCAGGTACAAGCCCCAGAAGATGTCGTACCAGCTCCTTCTCCCATTCGTCAAACTCCACCTTCACCTCAGGAGGATTCTAGTTTACCTACGCAGGCACCACAAGCAGCCCCTCCCACTCCTTCCGTTCCTTCTGAACCCAGCTTCTTCCGCCTCTTCATGCAACATCTGCGTTCTGATCCCCAGGCTCGCATCTGTAGGCCGTATCGTGTGTTCTGGTATTTATAGCTGACGAGACCTCTCTTAGGGTTAGGGATGTTTTTCTTCCTCACTTTCGTCGTTCGCGTCATCGTTACACCTTCATTGGCACTGTTTTTCGTCGGTACTATGTACTCGTCGTTCTGGTTGCCACAAATCGTGCGGTCCGTTAGACGGAGCAGGAGTAGCGCATTAAGCAAGGAGTACTTAGTGGGTACCACAATTTGCAGACTTTATTTTGCGTTGTGTACGTCTATTCTACCTGGTATTACATTCTCATGGCTGACTCCATTTTGCAGATTTCCTAGCTTGTCCCAAGAACGTTCTCGATGTGGATCGTCGACGTAAGTCCGACTATCTATACCTGCTGGTGTTTGTCACTAATAATTATCTTCGTCAACTCTTAATATATCCAGTATGGATATACATCCTTGCAGTTTTCATACTAATGCAAGTCATCGTTTTGATACTGCAAGAGCAACTTGGACCTACATTCTTCCTTCCAAAGCGGGTACGTCCATGTTATATCGTCGTATTAGATCGGTATCTCATCTACTCTCACATGTAGTTTACCAGTACGAAGATGTACGATTATCACCCACCGATTCCGTCTTCTGGTGTTTCTGACCCAGAGTCGCCCGACTCTTCGTTGGGAGATTGTGCCATCTGCATGGAAGTTATCTATGCTGAAGATCCACGACAACGCCAGCAAGTTGCTGGAGGATTGTTACACAAAGTTAGTGCACGCAGAAACTACAGTCTTGCGCCGTGTAGCCATCTATTCGTGGGTGCTAGTATGATCTTAATTCCGACATACACCTTTAATAATTCTTTTGACAATGATCTTCAAAAGCATACCGAATGTCTCGAAAAGGTACGAATAGTCCCATTCCGTTGTTAGAGACATTTACTAATTGTTTCCTTTTAGTGGCTTGCTATTAAGGTCATTAAACACGTTCTATTAATATACGCAGGAAACTCACGTGGTTACTTACAGAATATCTGCCCACAATGCCGACGTCCTCTACCTCCTCTATGAACTAGTTTCTTAACGTTTCAAGATCATCGACTGTCTCAAGTTACGCTCACCTTCTCTTGCATCCCCACTCTCCCGTTGAGTGTACTTTCGCCATGTTACACTAGGTGCACTCGGAAATGGACTCACGATACTAATGTGTACTATAGCTCACCACATAAACCAATATGTCGCATTTACAATGTTATCCTGTTCTCTGCAAATCAACTGGAGTTTTGTCTTTCTCGCACGTGAATGACCTGCTCATCGCACGTGATGTCATCGCGTTGGTTTCCCTCATGTTCCCTATTTCTACAGGGCTAATCCTTACAGCCATGAGTACTTTACCTGGACCATCGGCAGAAAATGCTACTTCAAAGAAGCGGCCAGTATTTTCTTCCTCTTCAAGTGCTTTATGGGCCATTCTTGGCAAGGAAATGTCTCAATCGACCTCAACGACAGCGAAAACAACGATCCCTGTTCCTCCATTAGCTCCGCTCGACAAAGCAGGCGCATCTATGCGCATGTTACTATATGATACTCAACTTAACCTTGAAAAGTTCTCAGCTCGTGTGGATAAACTCACTGGTGGTGTCGAAGATGCTAGGAAAGAGCTGGTTACCGTACAGAGAATGTTCGAAGGTGATCGAGACAAAATCATGGGAGAGATGCTCGACATCTGTAAGTCTTGTTAGCCAGGTCTAAATTTCTTACAAATACTAATCACAGCGTCGATAACGTACTGCCTGCGTGGTCGTTCGACAGCGAACAGATGTCAGGCTGTGTTACAGAAGTGTATAGGCGCACCTGCTCAATCTGCACAACTAGAACTTATGCTTAAGTCACAAACATCGATCGAAGCTGTATTCCAGGCACTAGAAAAACGCACAGATGCGCTGCAAACGGTACCGTTTGATGCCATACCTCAGCTTTGGCGAATGCGCTCTGACCATGAGATCATCTAGCTGATGCAATCCCAGACGCATACAATCCAAATGATTCAAGAGCAGCAAAATGCACTGATAACTAGTGTTCTATCTGTCCCACCCCTTCTTCATGCTATTCCGCTCCACATCGATCAAGCGAGGTCCGGCATCGTAGACGCTCTGAACACTAACATTTCGAAAATCTCTTCGTTATCGGATGCTATGAACTCTGACATACCTCAATTTCACTTAGAACAGATTAAATCCAGTATCATCGACGCGCTAAATCCTAGTATATCTGGTATCTCGACAGCTTTGGACCTGATGAAAACGAATATTATTGAAGTCATAAAGAATAGTGTCTCAAGTATACCGTCGACTCTGGACATCATGCAAGCGAAAATTATCGATGATATGAAGACCAAATCTGTCGAAGTCCTACAAGGCCTTTATTGCCATTCTCCACCATTGGCATCTCACGCAGAGTCACGTCCGCTGGTCCCCAAAAAACGTGCCACATCTGTGGCGGACGTTGATACACTCTCCAATCATGGACCTCTTCCTGATCTTTCTCCACATAATTACAACACAAAAGGAAGTAAGAAAAGGGTCAAAAGGATGCGCATCGATTCTCCGCCTCGGTCACCTTCCATATTGCCAATTTCCCCCCGCCAATCGCCACCGAAAATTGTGAGCCTGTGTAGTGACGAAGCAGGAAACCTCTCTATCCCCAATATCACTACTTCTGGCGGTATAATTCACAGTGCGCATCCAATTTCTCCTTTTCTGTCTGAGATACGACAACCTGTTAGTGGCCCCTTCCGCATGGGTTATTCTGAGCTATCGGGAACAGGCAATCATCACCCACAACGCGACTCTCAGGCTCCCACTCAAATCATGATGACCTCCGCCCCTGGTCCTGGCCGTAAGAAACTTGTCGCGGCCAAAGCAAATGGATCCCATGGCCATGCAATTCAACTTGATCCGTCAGCTGAATCATCTAAGGCCAGGACACGAGCAAAGCTACGGCCAAGACCTATCAATAGGGAGTCAGGTAAGAATCAAGTAACTCCCATAGTTCCTCGACAAGTACCGGCCGAATCCCAATTGGAATCCCTTGCTCCTACCCTAAGGTCATCATCGGCGATGTCTTCCTTAGCTGCACAAGCTGCACATGCTCCCGATGAACAACATGTTTCTCATGCTACTCCAAGCCGTCACGATATTCCCGCTAGTCTGTCCCCCCTTTCGTCCGTCCCTTCGTCGAGCCCTATTCAAATGCACAAAAAGCCAGCCCAATTGTCACAAGTCGAATCAAAAACCACTTCTAGAGATGATGACGTTTTGAGCCACAAAGATAAGTGGCTTATGGGCCCGGGTATCCCACATACTAGACATGATGCTGGATATCATTTTTCGAAAACATCGAACTCAAACACTGCCGAGCCCTCTACAAAAGTCAGCGATATATCTCGTGGCAACCACTCGAAGCAGCTGGCATCAGTTTACAGCGCAAATTGTGCCTTTCCGTCTTCGGACGTTGGTTATGGTTCGATGGCGTCGTCGTCATTGAAACCAATAAGTTTGCGAGATAGGCAAGCGCACATGTCCTTCGTATGTATTTCAACGTTCTCCTCCAAAGATGGCTGGCGGTCTTGTCGACAAAACAAGAGCAATGCACTAATTCACATTGGCTCGGGGCACCGCTAACTTGAGCCTCTTTAATATTTTTTTAGTTCCATCATTCTCGTGCAACCGCAAAGCGATTTATACCCCTCGGGTCTTTTTCTTCTTCCGACGAACATGAAGAAGTATGACTTTCCAGCGCTACCAGCGCTACCGGAACTGATAAAGGACGTAGATATAAAACATTGCTTTCTTGTCGCAGATGCAGAAGAAAAAAGGACTATGTGTTGCAGTCACACTATTCTTGAAAGCTGATTATTTAGAGATTACTCACACCGATCAGTGTGGATATAGTGGACGACTCAGATGGAATAAGTAGCATCGAACGAATGGTTTAAACAGGGGAAATACAGTAGTGATGACAGATTTAAGTTCAGGATTCGGAAAGTTGCATGGCATAAAGTGAAGGAAATACAGCAACTGTCCTATAGCAACGTGATTCACACGTCTTTGACCTGCATTTCCAACCACTCCCACAGTGCCTGGCCGAGCTTCGGGTCCTGTGTACCCTGCCGAGGAATCCCAGGTCGTGCCCAGGGGACAAGGGACTGGAAATCAGACGCAGCAACATCAACAAGGGCAGAGCGAGCTTGAAGAGACAGAAATTTACCTTGCCGTTGAGTCCGGCGGCCTCAGGTGCAGTCCCCGCATATAATTGCGTGAGAGCGCGGGTGTCGAACAAGAGTACCGCAATCTGTGAACGATCAGAGTGAGAAGTCGCATACCAAATAAAATCTTTTTTATGACACGCACCATTACTTTTCGAGCAAAATCTGGTACGTATACCGTTGGAGGTCGGAACGGATGTTTCCTGGGTTCAAGGCAATAGACACGATGCCTTGGTTACCATAGCGCTTTGCGAGTTCTAGAGCAGAAACAATGTTTCCCTATATCACCAGCCAGACGAAAGGTCACGCTCGGATTAACGACAATATGGCAGGGTTGAAGAGGCCTCACGTATTTGCTTTGACCATATAATGACTGGGGACTCATTTTCTTCCGAACTGGGCCATCTTTGAATGTGGCAAAATCGAGGCTACCGAAGAGATGCGCAGATGAGGCAACGGTGACCACGCGTGCTTTGCCGTCTGGGGAGGTTTGGGCTGTTGAGATTAGGGTTGGAAGGAGAAGTTTCGTGAAGTAATGATGGCCTGTGGAACAACGCAGACTATTACTGTCTGTATGAAACGAAGAAAAAAAGGGGCTTCTACCAAGAACGTTGGTACCAAATTGGAGATCATAGCCATCCGCGGTTAAGAGGTCCTTTGGAGGAAACATCACGCCACTAGCCGAGTCAATATCAGTGAAAGGATTTGCATAGGACCTTTTTCTCGGATCTGGGACTTACGCGTTATTAATGAGAACATGGAGCTGCGTCTCTTTGCTATCCGGATGAAAAGGTGAGTTCGTTAGCGTTAGTGGGCCAGTCGTGACCTGGGGAGTTGAGTGAGTAATACCTGAGAAACTCCTCAGCGGCCACTTGATCGAGTTTGAGGAAGATTGCCTCGTTTCCTGTCTTGTCCTTCAATTCACGGATAGTTTCCTCCGATTGAGGCTGGTTTCTGGCTGCGATATAGACTTTTGCATTGTGTGATAAAAGAGCCTGCATTATGGTCGTTAGCACATGTATGTGATCGTACCACTCTCATTTCAAGGTCTGGATAGGAGAAGGAAGAGGAAGGCGCTTTAATGAACGCTCATCAAGGTGGTCTCTTTTCCGATTCCCGTGTTAGCGCCAGTGACAATGATTACCTTCCCAGCTAGATCCGGTATGTTATTGACAGAGAATTTAGATTTGGGAGGTACAACCTCTCTAGCCCAAGATAATGCTGCGCCCATTTGTCACTTTGATATTACGATGATTGCTATCAATGATTTGTCGTTCGTGGAATGCTATCAGGGAAGATTGGCGTGTTGAGCAGCGCGACACGCAAAGAAGGACTTCTGCGTGTATAACTTGGGAAAGTGTGCTATATTTAGCTGTCTGGCCTTGCGTGAGGTCGAGGATTTAAGTTTCGTAGTGAAACTTGGGAATGCTTCATGGTTTTCTAGTGTTCTAAGAATCACAGCCGGGCAATGACGCGCCATAACGGCGACGCTGCTTCTTGATTTACTAAGTATGATTCGCAAGGTCGCGCTGGTATTACGGAAGATCCGAGTCGTATCAATAGCGACATTCGAAGTAAACGCTGAAAATATTTCAGGCGCCTGAAAAAATAAAAGTGATGATTTGTAAGCATGCTGTAGTTGGAAAGAAAATACGGCGCTTACAAAAAAAATTCCTTTGATAATGCCAATCTGTTGAACTCCGCTTCAACTTGGACCGTATTATGGAATGGACAGCAAATGACACAGGTTGTTTTCGTCCCCACGCTTGTGCCTCACCACTCCATGCATCGACAACCTTCTCGGCATTCAAGACCCCCTGTTGACAACGATGTAGACGATAACGACAAATTATCTGACAGTGATGTCGACAATAGGAACGCCCAAGGTTCCCGCAAGTCTAGGCGACCAGGTATCAAGTGGACTGCTGACCATACTGATCGTCTCCTAGACTGGCTGGAACAGAATGTCAAAAAGCGACATTTACTTTTCTCGGATTCTCAGGAAGATGCCACCAAGGAGAGTAGAAAGAAGGGACAGGCTAAGTCTAGCAAGGTGGTGTTACACGGGGAGCTTGCACAGTATGTATTTGGTGTGGAGAGTGATCCGGCTATTTGTGCGACTCTCAAGTCTGATCCGGTGAGGTATACAAAGGCGGTCGATAACCACCTCTCTTCGTAAGTGTTATTTGTTGATCAGCACCTGATATTTAGATAACCATTATTTATCCAGGCTGAAGAAAAAATACCGCCAGTCTTGTTAGGAGCTGGGCCGTACTGGAGCTGGTCTTACGTTTGAGCAACTAGAGAGGAACCCCGAGTATACAGGACCAATTGGTGCGTTTATACGTTAGTTCATTCAATTTCCGCCTTCCTACATGTGTTTACCATACTACCAGGTGCAATCACGGCCAAGTTCAAAATGTTCCATCGTTTGCATGGCTTCTGGAGGAAGATCCCCAGCTACAACCCTTTCACAATGTCATCAGATGCAGGTCAGGATCATGAGGCACAGGCCTACAATCTTCTGTTCTCAAACACGTGCGGTCGGGGTCATACTAGCCACCATGATGCAAGCAATGTGGCCTCAGCCATGGCGTTGGATATCCCTGCACAGCAGCAGCAGCACTACCCGGTTGACACACAGACAACGAGCCAATATAATCTGAACTACCACCCGCCGAATCAGCAACTCCATCAGCTTCACTCCATGCCTCAGTACGTTAACCATCGCAACAGCTCCCATGTGGACCCGAGCATGACATCGTCCTCTGTATCGTCCATGCCTTATGGTGTTTTGTTAATATCATTACCGTCTATGACAACTGACCCAAATTTCTTCGACTCAAATGCTTCCAGCCTTTTTCCTGGGGCTTATCATCAATCGTTATCTTCTCTGTTTCAGGATAACCACTCCATCTCTTCATTTGAGTCTTTTTTTTCTAAACTGCAGCATGATACGCTGGGTCAGGGTCAAGGTGAGTCCGTACTCCCAATGTCTCCTTTACCCCAACCCCAATACCAGACGTCTTCGATCTCTGGTGCTTTGGGGATGCCACTTCCCATGTCTCCCACCTCGGACAATGACAACTCTGGTTTCTCCGCAAACCAGTATCCGCCCTCTCTTACATCTAGTTTCTTTTCCGATCAACCACCTGCCTCCCCCGCATCTGGACGATCCAACTTTTTCTCAAACTTACCGCAGACTTCTACTCCGCCTCCTGCAACTTTGCCTCCTGTTTCTCCACCTATCCCTGCTTCGAAAAAAGGCAAACATCCTGCTACGTTTGTAAACATCAGAGATGCCCTTTGCAATCAGCTGGCTGCATCAGGCAAAGAAGCCGCCCAGGAGCAGCGTGTCACTACAAATAGGCGATCCACTGATTAGCCAAGTAAGGACATGTTAGTTTTGGTGATTCTGCACCTTTGTGCTACCCATATATTTTCATTCCTTTCTCTATCTATTCTTCTATCATTCACTATTGATTGTGTTCTCTATTATTTTGCCTTTGTGGCTGCTTTGTTTACCTTTGTTTACAAAACTTCGGACAGTATTGCAGAGTCCAATGCTTCCTATTCTCTAGTTACTCACATTGGACTCTAGGTACTGTATACCTGTCATACTCTCTAATAATAAAGTTACTCACATTGGACTCTAGTTCCAATCCCTGATTGCTCTCAGCAAGTGGCTAGACACTTCCTTCAAGCTTTGTTCTTAATAGGTTATGAGCCCTGTGCTCTAGCCATCTTCCTGACCTCATATCTCACCATCCAAGTGTCCTACTGCTTATCCATCGTAACCATCGTCTTGTGGGACTCTTATTATCTCATCCATCACCTCAGATTACTCTGATCTCATCTTGATCTCCAACAACGACTCCTTGTTGCAAGTTACCCCCATTTCGGACGCTTTTTTGGTCTTATCTGCACCATATCTCGCCCAATCCTTATCTGATTGTCCTGTAACTTCTACCATCGTCTTTTACGGCCTAAATAACCCTAGGAGACCTGTCAGAGCGGTTGGATTTGAGCTGGATCTTTCTGTGAGCCTTCATCATCATTTGATCACCTTTTGGCCCCCTATTCCATATCTCCACATCCTGTGCTCGGATCTTGTGATATTTGGGCCATCTATTACTCTATAAAAACATTCCCTATACCTCTGATTTGGTGGCAATCCATCCATCTTATCTGTCTCTGCATCAATTTCGACTTTTTGCCCTATTTTTCGCTTTTTGGCATATCTGGTGTGTGCATAAAGCTCCAATCTTCTCTACTCTGTCCATTATCAGATAGAACAAGCCTATAGACTGTGAAGCTCGCCTGCATTGCCTCAGTTTGCTGTTGCCTAGAGCCTCTCTCAGTCTGCGGTGTTTGGGGAGCTTAAGTCACTTTGTTGACTCATATACAAGCCCTATTAACCAACACTGTCTCGAGGTGATTTCTCTGTTAATATCAGTGTGGAATTGAAAGGGGAACACAGGCGTAACCCTGTAGCAGCACTAGGAAGCCTTAGCACCCTCCTGGATCGCTTTTTGGACGCTTTTTGGACCCTATTTGGACCTATCATTGCGCTTTTCACCCTCTCCATATCCTCTCTATACCGCCTCACCATCTTATTTGCTCGCCTCCTACTGTTGCCCATCGTCTTTGCCACTGTTTCATCGCCTATAGCCATCTCCTACATCATTTATATTCGCTCTATCGTCTTATACAACACCCATCATGTCTGACTCTGACCCAAAGTTCCATCCCTTGTCTGGCACTAACTACCCCCAGTGGAGTGGTGAAATGCAAGCTTGGTTGATGACCAAGGGACTGTGGAGGCTTGTCTCTGGCACTGAAAAGTGTCCTGGGACTGACACTGAAGCAATAGAGAAATGGGAGTTGAGAGCTGAAAAGGCTGCTGGTGCATTATACCTCAATGTCACCAAAGAGCAGCGCATCCATCTTGATGGCATCATTGATGATCCTGTCAAGATCTGGGAGAAATTGGCCATTGTGCACGTCTCTAAGAAGCCTGGGACGAGATTTAATGCCTATGACGACTTCTTCTCTATCAGAAAGAAGGAGGACGAGTCCCTGCAGTCTCTTATGACCAGAATTGACGAAGGCATGCATCAAATTCAAAATCTTCGTCCTACTGGCTTCTCATTGTCTGAATTGGACGATGAATTGACATGCATGGCCATGATTAGGGCGCTTCCTGATCAATATGCCCACTTTACTTCGTCTCTACTGCTTCTGGGCACCTTGGATAAAACTCAGCTCAGGGATGCTTTCCTTGCTGAAGAGGTCAATCGCTGTTGTCGTGCTGAAGTCGATTCTGCCTTGCATTCTTCGTCTACCACTGCCAATAGCACCTGTACCCATCCTAAGTGCCATCATTGCAACCAATCCACCACCTCTACTCGCATTCAGTGTGATTTCTGTGGTTTACTTGGTCATACCCAGGATAAATGCCACAGATATGTTATCAGTCGCCAACAGGCGGCGGAGGGCGCTAAGAATCGCTACAAGCGTGGCAATAAGGCTCAGGCAGGCCCCAGCAACTCTCAGAATACCTCTCAGCAGCCCAAATCTTCGCCCAACAATGCCAATTCATCTACTGTGGTCACTGAATCAGCTGGAAATGCAAGTCTTTGTTCCATTCATCCCTCTGATCCTCACTGCCCTCTCCAACTTGATGCTGACGTTGATTGGAATGCAGACACAGGCGCCACTTCTCATATGACACCTCATCGTCATTGGGTGCACCACTATACCCCATATCGTGTGCCAATCAAGCTGGCTGATCACACTGTCGTCTATTCAGCTGGTGTTGGTACTGTGGTGTTTAATCCTGTGATGAATGGCAAAGTGGCTAGGGCTGTGGAATTCTCTAGAGTGCTCCATGTACCAGATCTTCGAAATAATCTCCTCTCAGTCTTGTATTTAACTCGTCAAAGTGGTTTCAATATCACTATTTCGTCTCATTTCATGTCCTTTATGCGTGACAACACTCTCTTGTTCACTGCAACTATCAATGACAACAATGCAGCATTCCTTGATGGATCTACTGCTGCTTGTGTTGAATTGGGACATTTTACTGCGACTATACCACTTGATTTGATGCTCTGGCATCGCAGATTGGCTCACCACCACCATGCTGATGTCAAGAGACTGATACAGAGAGATCTGGTCACTGGGCTTACACTGGAATCCAAGGCTGCTCCTGATCCTGTCTGTGAACCGTGCTTGTCTGGCAAGATGCATGCCAATCCATTCCCCTCATCTGATACTCGCTCTGCTCATCCTTTGGACCTCATCCATTCTGATGTACACCAAGTCTCTTCCCCCACATTCTCTGGTTATCGCTACTGGGTCACCTTCATTGACGATCACAGTCAATTCCGTGTTGTTGTGCCTCTCAAGGCCAAGTCAGATGTCTTTGATGCTTTCAAGAGATTCAAGGCTTATGCTGAGACTCAATTGGAGCGTAAAATCAAGGCTCTGCGCGATGACAAAGGGGGAGAGTACATGTCCAAGGAATTTGAGCAATTCACAGATGACCATGGGATTGTCAGACAGCATACCACCAGGAATCGTCCTCAGCAGAATGGTGTGGCAGAGCGAGCAAACAGACTTCTGACTGAGCGTATCACTGCCATGTTATCAGAGTCTGCATTGCCTAACAGCTTCTGGGGTGAATGTCTGTCTGCTTTGGTGCATGTCTGGAACAGGTGTCCCACTGATGCAGTGGCCCATGCCACTCCATTTGAGTTGTGGTATGGACGCAAGCCTGACATGTCTCACCTTCGCGTTTGGGGCTGCACTGCCTATGTGCATGTGCAAAAGGACAAAAGAGGCGTCTTTGGCTCTCATATGGAGAAATGTGTGTTCATTGGTTACCCTGAGGGATACAAGGGATGGAAATTCTACAATCCTACCACCAAGCGCACTGTTATCTATGAGAGAGCTGATTTTGATGAGCACTACTTCCCTAGCTTGAAGAAGTCTTCTGACAATGTCCCACCTCCACCTCCCACTCCACCTTCACTATCCATGCCATTGGGCCTGATTGAGGATGTCCCTGCACCAGGTCCAGGGGGAGATATGGGCGCACCAGCTGCGCTTCAGCAGCCTCAGCTATTGCCTGATAATGGGCCTCATTTGGACCTTGATGCAAAACCACCTGTGAATCAACCTCCTGAGCTTCCAAATCAACCTCCTGAGCTTCCAAATCACCCTCCTCATCGCTCACCTTCTCCTGACTTGCCTATTGCACTGAGACGCCCTGTAAGGGCTAGGAGACCACCTAGACCATGGTGGCTTCAACACAGACAACCTACTCCTGCCATTGAGAGTGATGACAGTGATTCTGAGGCAGTTGATGATGAAGTGGCACACTTTGGAGACTCTGCTGAGCCTAGGTCATTTGCAGATGCAATGAAGCGTCCTGATGCAGATAAATGGAGAGAGGCAGCCATGGAAGAGCTTCAAGCTCATGAGCGCAATGGTACTTGGTCACTAGTGGAACTACCTTCTGGAGTCAAGGCTATTGGTGGCAAGTGGGTCTTCAAGATCAAGCGCAACTCGGATGGCACTGTTGAGCGCTACAAGGCCAGATATGTAGCCAAAGGTTATAACCAGCGCCCTGGCTTTGATTTCCTCGAAATATTTGCACCTACTGTCCGCATATCATCCATCAGAGTTGTCCTTGCCATTTGCGCTCCATTGACATTTCCCATGCATTCCTGAATGGAGTCATGGATGTCAAGGTCTACATGCATCAGCCAGAGGGATTCCATCAGGGTTCTCGCAATCTTGTTTGCCAGTTGGACAAGGCCATCTATGGGACAAAGCAGGGAGGCAGAATGTGGAACCAGAAGATGCACACTGTGCTTGAAAAACTTGGATTCAAGTGTACTTATTCAGACTCTGCCATCTATGTCTTTAACAGAGCTGATGTGCGCATTATCCTGCCTGTCTTTGTTGATGACATGACACTGGCATCCACTTCTACTTCTGCACTTGACCAAGCTGTCAAGGACCTCTCCCTGCACTTTAAGCTTCGTGATCTTGGCCCTACTTCTTACCTACTTGGCATTTCCATCACTAGAGACCCACCATCTCCCTCTCCCAACATCAGTACACTCTGGACATTCTGGAGCGCTTTGGCATGAAGGACTGCAAGCCTGTGTCCACTCCCATGGATCCTGATTTGCGCCTCACCAAGGACATGTCTCCCAAAACATCCAGTGATGCTGCTTTGATGAAGAACATTCCCTACCTTGCTGCTGTTGGTGCTCTGATATATCTGGCCACTACCACTCGTCCTGACATTGCCTACACTGTTGGAGTCCTTGCCAGATATAACTCTAATCCTGGTCTTACTCACTGGAGTGCTGTCAAGCACTTGTTCCGCTACTTGCAAGGCACCCTTGATCATTCCCTTGTCCTTGGTCCTGATCCCAATTCCACTGAACTCTTCACCACTTTCTCTGATGCTGATCATGGTGGTGACAAGGACTCTGGTCGTTCTACTGGTGCCTATATTGTCAAGATGGGATCTGGTGCTGTCTCCTGGAGCTCCAAGCTTCAGAACATTGTTGCTCTGTCCACCACTGAAGCAGAATACATTGCTGCTGTTGAGGCTGGCAAAGAGATTTGCTGGATGCGAAATTTGTTGAAGGAAATGGGATATCCTATCACCTCTCCTTCCACCCTTCATATTGACAACCAATCTGCCATCTCTGTATCCAAGAACCCTGAGCACCATGGTCGGATGAAACACCTTGATCTGCGATGGCATTGGTTGAGAGATGTTGTTGACTCTGGGCAGATTGCTCCTACCTTTGTTCCCACTGCTGAAATGCCTGCAGACTTGTTGACCAAGACTCTTGTCAAGCCTAAAGTGGAAGTGTTCAGGAAGATGATGGGACTTATTAGATCAGGGGGGAGCTGATGCTTGGGAGGTGCAGCATCAGGGGGGAGTGTTAGTTTTGGTGATTCTGCACCTTTGTGCTACCCATATATTTTCATTCCTTTCTCTATCTATTCTTCTATCATTCACTATTGATTGTGTTCTCTATTATTTTGCCTTTGTGGCTGCTTTGTTTACCTTTGTTTACAAAACTTCGGACAGTATTGCAGAGTCCAATGCTTCCTATTCTCTAGTTACTCACATTGGACTCTAGGTACTGTATACCTGTCATACTCTCTAATAATAAAGTTACTCACATTGGACTCTAGTTCCAGTCCCTGATTGCTCTCAGCAAGTGGCTAGACACTTCCTTCAAGCTTTGTTCTTAATAGTTGATTCCAACAAACCTAAGATAGTGACAAATGGTTCTATATCCACTGGCTCGAATTCTGCAGGAAACCATGTTCTATTGCGGATGGTGACAAACCTTCAAAGCGGATTCGAAGGTGAACCATGTGGCTTTGAGATGCACTGCATGCAACACAAAGGACTTTGGAGATGCGGCTATCGGTGAGCCTCATCGACGTGTCCGAGGCCGAAGCAGTCATGAAACGTTGACGAATCGAACCCGAACATTTCTGCAAGGCTGTCACATAGGTCACACGTCACGAGCTTCACGCACATCATAGTAATTCGGCATCGACAGGTGTATCATCACTATAAAAGTGCTAAACGTCCTGGACCTGCTCTTCGAGCCAACTCCATAGCGCCCTTCCAAGCTCTGGGTCCTGCGTGCCCGCTAGTGGCGTGCCAACTCTAGCCCAGGGAATCAGGTACTGGCAGTACACGGTATATAATCATTAACAGGTAAATAAATGATCGGCCACGAGAGGGAAAAATTACCTGGCCATTGAGCTCTGCGCCTTCAGCCGTCGTCCCTGCGTACAGCTGAGTGAGAGCACCATGTTGGACACTGTATAAAATGGTGGTGTTCTAGATTATAACAGTTTCAGAGAAAGAGTTGCGTATCAAGAAATTATTGACAGAGAAAACATACCAGTATGATTTGGCCGACGCGAGGGATGTAGCGAGTTAGATCCGATCGTATGTTGCCCGGGTTTAAAGAGATAGAAACGATTCCTTCATTACTATACCGTCTTGCGAGCTCCAGTGCGAACACCGTGTTTGTTCCCCTTGCCACGAGCGTGCGCAAAGTAAGATAAGAAACGTGAAATACTAGCAACTTGTAGTCAGTAGAAACACTCACATATTTACTCTGGGAGTACATCACACTGGTAGATTGTTTTTTCCTTGCTGGCCCATCTTTAAACGTGTTGAAGTCAAGGTTTCCAAAGTGATGTCCAGAGGAGGAAGTGGTCACCACGCGTACTTTGCCATCTTGACAGGTTTTGGCAGTAGAGATGAGGACGGGAAGTAGGAGCTTTGTGAAGTAATGGTGCCCTATGGTGGGAAACAAGGATGTTTAGAACGAATATGTTTGCAAAAGAAGAGGAAAAGGGAGAAAGACACTTACCAACGACATTGGTGCCAAATTGGAGATCATAGCCATCTTCCGTTACAAGGTCAATAGGTGGTCCCATCAAGCCGCTGATAAACTTGGGTAGTCAGAACATGGGGCTGTGATGCTCGAAGCCTCTCAGGCTTGAAACTCACGCATTGTTAAAGAGAACGTGGAGCTGTGTTTCCTTGCTGATAAAATAGCGAAATGGGTTAGAGGTGTTTAACAGTACTGTTCGACTCTGGACGGTACCTAAGAAATTCTTCAGCGGCTGCTTTCACGAACTTCAGGTTTGCGAGGTCGAGCTTAAGGAACACCGCTTCATTTCCAGTCTTCTCTTTGAGTTCACGAATAGCATCCTCTGACTGAGTCTAATTTCTCGCAGCGATATACACCTTTGCATTATGTTCCAATAAAACCTACCATAGGGTCATGACATCAATCATTCTCAGTCAGTGTGAGCAGATGTTTTGGGTAGAAACGGAATGCATCTTTTGATGACCCTATTAACAAATTGAGCCAGGAGGCTGTGGAGCACCTCAGAATTCCTCTGCAAAACCCCATCCAAATTGAGCATCCAGCAATCTGTCATAGTTTCCTGAAGCTGTTTCCGACATCCTCAGCTTTCATGCAGTTGAGAAGACAATTGCCGAGTATAGCGGAGTTGAGTATGTTGAGCATGATATGTGCCCAGAGTTGTGCATTGGCTTTACTGGCCCTTTTGCTAACCTCCATGCTTTTCCTGTGTGTGGGATGTCCTGATGAGGTCAGAACCAACTTCACGCTAGCAATGGACGTACCAGAATGGCTGCAAAAAAATTCACCACTATTCCCCTTGGTCCCCAGCTCCAAGCACAATATCAAGATCCCCAATCTGCTCGCAATATGTGTCACCTCCATGAGTGCACTCAGGGCATCACCTCCCATCTTTGAGAGACTGGAGAGATCCCAGTCATTGATGACATTGCCATGGGATTAGACTACCTTGGGCCAGTCTTTGATGGTGATATTAAAGGGAGTGACATCGTTCTTATGGTGTTGCTTGATGGTGCTCAACTTTATGAACACAAAGACTTGGATTGTTGGATGTATGTATGGATTATTGTGAGTCTTGCCCCCAACAAGCGCTACCAGAAGATTTATGTCCGCCCTGGTGATTTTATCCCTGGGCCTAACAAGCCGAAGAATTTGGACTCGTTTCAATGTGTCGGAATGCATCACATATCCACACTCCAGAAAGAGGGACTCAATATCTGGGATGCCAACCGCAATATTGTTTTTTGCTTGGACATCTACCTTCTTTTTCCAACTGCTGATGGCCTTGGCCTTGTTTATTGGGATGGAATGGTTGGACATAGTGGTAAAAATGGATGCCGCATATACTATGGCATTCTGGGTCAGCACAAGAACCATGGTCAACATTACTATCCTATTCTCATTATGCCTCATGATAAATATCCTCCTAATGGGAGTAGACACCCAGATATTGTGGTTTTTGGCCTTCCATCAAGTGGTTCTGATACATATGCTGACCATCTCAAGAGGCTCATATCCTCTCCTAATCAAACTCAATATGATAACCGCAAGACAGAAACAGGCATTACAAGAGCACCTTTAATCCTTGGTCTCAGTGCCTCACAATCACTGGGTGTTCCCTGTTGCATGACAACTGATATAATGCATCTTGCTAGTAACCTCAGTGATCTTTTGATTTCACTTTGGCGTGGAATTATTGATTGTGACAGAACTGATGATTCTGAACAATAAGAATGGGCAGATTTTGTCAATAATGAAGCTTGGAAAAGGTATGTACACATACAACATCAATTTCATGTCCCTAATATTGTACTACTGCAAGGTATAGAACATCTGTCTAGGATGCTGGGTCCCACCTACTGTAAGGACCATTTATTATTTTCTTATCTTCTCACTCCATGTCCTGGTTCTTGAACACTTTTCCTGTCACACCTCTGGCTTTAGGGCTAAAGGTATCTTTTGCGATCCTGCTTCTCATTGACAAAACCGGATAAACCCGGTCTCTGCCGAAGCAGCCATTGTTCTCCATGGAGCATAGCCACCACTCCATGGAGTAACCATTGTTCTCCTAGGAGTCATTATACTGTAGCGAGTAGCACCTCCGACTATAAGTAGTAGGGAGTTTAGTATAGGAATACCTCAGTCGTTTCTATAGCCTCTCGGGCAGCAGCTGAGTTTCACTTAGTTTTATTACTCATAGCCCTAACAGGCTTTCTTAATCATTGTTACCACTTTGTATCACAGATCAGAGACTGGGTATTGCACCCAGCTAGCCAGCAGGATGGGTAGGGGCTAGTAGTAGACATCTCGGCAACTAGCTCCAAGCCCCATCAGTGCCTGGATATACTAATAGACGCTTTAGTCAGGATCATACCTCATTATGAGGATACAGTTCCAACAACAAAGCATATTTGTTTGTTGTACCGGAATATATAGAGACATGTTTCTGCATTTAGTCTTGTGAAACTGAGCTCCTGGAGCTTGCAATCAAAAGTTTTGTTCCATGTACGACCAGCTTGTTTTAACCCGTAGATGGATTTCTTCAATCTCCAGCAGTATCCAGGTTGGATAGGAACACCCCCTGGAGGAAGCATGTACAGTTCTTCTTCAAGTTCTCCATTGAGATAAGCTGTGGATAGGTCCATTTGATCAAGTTCTAGGTTGTACTTTGCTGCCAGGGCTAGAATAATTTGGATTGACTCTAAGTTTGCAACTGGAGCAAAAACCTCCTGGTAATCAATCCCCTCCCTTTGAGTAGAACCTCATGCAACAATCCGGTGTCGATGATGAGAACTGTTGTTAGAAAACCACACACAAAAACAAACTAACACACAATCCTCCCAGATTCCACGGAACTTGTTTATGGGCTTTGCCTCCTAGAACAGTGAAGTGGTCTGGTTGTTCGTGGGGTGGTACGTATAAAGATCCTTCAAAGTAAAACCCAGAGAGGTATGGGTGTGGGTTTTGAGGAGGAGGGATAGTTGAATTTATAGAAGATGGGGGCTTTGTGATGAGTATAGACAAGCACTACCTTGCTAATCGTAGCACAAGGTAGGTTTGAGAATGACAAAGATGACGAGGTGACGAGGTTCCCAGTGATAGCAGGCTCCTGATGCACAAACTGTAGTGCTCAGAAGGACTCTAATCAAAAGGGATGACAGTGACTTTCAAAAATGACAAGTGACGATGACAGCAGATAGCAGTGGTAGCAGTGGGAAGTATTGTGACCACACTGGATCACAAGTAGCAGAGTAGTGAACTTGAGATTTAGAGAAGAAGTCTGGAATCGAGTACTTTGTTGTTTTTACAAGGTAAAATACAGGGGTTTATATAGTGAAAAGAAAGGCAGGCTATGCACAGTATAGCTGCGCAAAAAGAATGAGAAAGAACATGAAGGAAGGAATGTACGCTGACGAATCCTGCGTAGTTGCTACAGGATAAGATCATCAAAATAAGGGAAAGAAAGGGATAGAACAATGAATGCTGTGAGTAATGTCACAGGTTTGTACAGCCATAAAGTAAAGTCCAATAGCAAAAAGAGAGCAGGAAAATCATGATGTCATGGGAAGATGCAGTAAAAAAAAGGCAAGGAAAAACACTATCAGTATCAACACAGTTCCTTTATTGTCAGTCAGGCATTCTAAAAAAATATGTGTCCATAAAAATGATTCAAAAATCAAAAATAATCGCACTGCAAATGAATGTTCTGCTGAAAAAAAAGAAACTGGAGCCACCGGTCCACCACCTAGTCCAAATCCGACAGTTCCATGGCCTTACCAATGGACTGGTTGTGTTGGACCACCTGATCAAACGAGGGAGGGAGAGGAGTAGTTCCAATTTGGAACAAGTGAGTCCCAGGCAGCGTGTGGTAGGTGTAGCTGTAGCGAAGACGATGGACAAAGGATAAGTGTACCCAAGTGAATGGGACAGCAATGAACATGGGCGACGCAAGGGGATGAACCTTCTCCAGCTCAAAAACTACCCACCCACGCTCCAACCAGGCGAGACGAGTGACCGATGTTTTGATAGTATGTGATGGCAAATTGACGTCATGAAGATGGACCTGTTGCCCTATTTGGACCGGCCGCCGGGGCTTTGCTGATATCAGCAGTGGCACGTGGTAGTCAACGGATCGGCGACGGAAGCGGATAGGAAGTGGTGACATCAGAAATGGTTGGGGTGCAAATAATATGAGGAGGAGGAGGGTGGAGGTGACGAACAAGTGGACTAGAATGGGGATCCAGAAACGACTGTCGGGTGAGAATAAAAGGAGAGGAAGGGGCCCATGGTGGGGCTAGGCAAAGGAAGGGGAGTAAGGGAAACGACAAAAGCGAGGGCGCAATGCAATGTGTAGCCAGTGGCGACGCGAAAATTTGCCGAAATGCCAAAACACGGAAAGTACCGCATGGAAAAGCAAAGGTGAGTGTGACTGGATTGCCTAATAGAGGTGGTGCTGATCAGCCACAAGTTTGAAACAGGCAATATTAATTACTATTCCACGTGGCACTGTGCCTGTGTGGCGCAAAGGCGAGTCTTTTCGAATATTCGCTTCGTTATTGACACCTGTCCATGCTACCAATCAATTTTGGTGCATGACACCGGAGTTTGTATCTCTCAATGTTTCCGTTTTGATCAAACTTGATCCAGAACACAGGTTTTGATGTGATAAGTTTTACTCCCTTCGGCGGTGGGACGATGTCATATACTGCATTAGTATTGAGACTTAGGAGTTCCTCCTCCAAGGCAGACTTCCATAATTCTCCATCCGGACATAATAAGGCTTCCTTTAGTGTCCTTGGAAGATACTCCAGGGAGTAGACGCATTTGTGTATTTGTTGCCCCACTCACTCCTGAAGGTGTTGAATCACTCCTTGGAGGTGTTGTATGCCTTCCAGAAGCTGATCCAATGGACAGGCTGTCTAGCTGTATTCGGACTTTTTCCACATCAGCTGGCTGTATGTTGAGGGGCTGTCCTCCCACTGACTGTAACTCTACTTTGGCTTTCCGTTCTGAAGATGGCCAGTGTTTAGGCTTGGTTGTAGAGACTGTTGTGGAGGGTGTCTTAGCTGATCAGGTGCTCCCACTGCTCTTGGAACGTCTCCATGGACATATTGCCCCACTGCTCTCGGAACATCTTCATGCTGATATGGTTCCATTGCTTGTGGAACATCTCCTTGGAGATGTGGTTCCATTTGCAATTCATTTGGATCTTGGATCCGAGAGTCAGGATCATCCTCCTCCAAATTTTTTTTTGGTCTGGATAGTAAGCATTCTCTGGAATGAGTCCCTCTCACTGATCTGTGCTAGTGTCTGTGTTCCAGGGAGCAGTGTCATCCTTTTGTACCTTTCCGGATTCATTGAATATGACATGCCAACTGGAAAACACAGTCCGTTTTTCAGTGTCTAGGAGTTTGTAGGCTTGCTTTCCATGTGTGTAGCCAATCATTATGGCTTTGTGCCCCTTGGAGTAAAACTTCCCTTGCCTTTTGTCTTTTGGAATCAAGGCATATGCTTGGCATCCAAAAGGGAAAAACAAAGTTGGATCAACTCTCCTTTTAAACAGTATTTCATATGGGGTCTTTCCATGGAGTCCTGATGCTGGGCTGCATGCTGTGATATATGCAGCTGTTTGCATGGCATTTACCCAAAATGACTTTGGGAGCTTGGAATCATGGAGCATAGTGGTTGCTAATGTAGCCAATGTCTGATTCATGCGTTCTGCAATGCCATTTTGTTCCGGAGTACCTGCAGCTGTAGTTTCTTGGATGACACCATCTCCTCGGAGTTGATTTTTGAATGTATTGCCAGTATATTCTCCTCCCCCATCGCTCCAGAGGAATTTTGTGTATAGTGGAGTGAAGTTTTCTTCTCCCAAATGAGTCCTGAAGAATGTTTGGACATCTTCTTTCCATTGCTTGTATCGTTCCAGTGCTTCACTTTTATGTTTTAGGAAATATATCCATGGAAATTTGGAGAAATCATCTACAATGATAATCCAGTGCCAAAAACCCTCCCTGGAAGTTGGTTTGATTGGTCCTCCAACATCTGTGTGCACAATTTGTATGGGGCGCTTGGCTTGGTTTCCTCCAGTAGACTTGAAAGGTAATTTCTTCATCTTTCCTAAAGCACAAGGTTCACAAAACTCCGGGGTTCTGGTAAGGGTGTCTATGTCCTCGAGCTGTTTTTTTGTAACCATTCGTTGCAAGCGGTCCATTCCAATGTGTCCCATTCTCCTGTGCAATAAATTTACATCTACTGCTGCAAAAGCTGACTCCGGGTTGATTTTGGGTTTTGCTTGGATGTGATAAAGTCCTCGCTTG